AAAGATAAAAAGCATATGATCATATCAATAGATGCAGAGAAAGCATTTGATAAGATCCAGCACCCCTTTATGATGAAAACCCTAGCCAAAATGGGTATAGAGGGGACCTTCCTCAACATAATTAAAGCCATCTACCACAAGCCTACAGCAAGCATCATCCTCAATGGGGAAAAACTGAGAGCCTTCCCTCTAAGATCAGGGACGAGACAGGGATGCCCACTCTCTCCACTGCTGTTCAATATAGTACTGGAAGTACTTGCAATAGCGATTAGGCAGGAAAAAGATATTAAGGGCATTCAGGTAGGAAAGGAAGAAATCAAGCTCTCACTATTCGCAGATGATATGATACTCTACTTAGAGAACCCAATAACTTCCACCAAAAAACTCTTAGAAACAATAGACTCGTATAGTAAAGTTGCAGGTTATAAAATCAATACCCAAAAGTCCATGGCTTTCCTATACGCAAACAGTGAGAGAGAAGAAAGCAACATGAAAAAAACAATCCCATTCACAATTGTGCCCCAGAAAATCAAGTACCTAGGAATCAGCTTAACTAAGGAAGTAAAGGACCTGTACAAAGAAAACTACAAAACGCTACTTCAGGAAATAAAAGAGGACATGAGGAAATGGAAAGATATCCCCTGCTCATGGGTCGGGAGACTTAACATTGTCAAAATGGCAATACTACCGAAAGCATTGTATAAATTCAATGCAATCCCTATAAGGATACCCATGACATTCTTCAAAGAAATGGAGCAAACACTCTTGAAATTTATATGGAACAATAAGCCCCCACGAATAGCTAAAGCAATTCTTGGGAAAAAGAAAATGGGAGGAATCAACCTCCCGAACTTCAAACTGTACTACAAAGCAGTAATAATTAAAACAGCATGGTACTGGAACAAAGGCAGAACTGCAGACCAATGGAACAGGGTTGAATACACTGACATCTCTCCTCAATCATATGCTCATCTAATCTTTGATAAAGGTGCAAGTAATGTGAAATGGAGTAAGGAAAGCCTCTTTAATAAATTGTGTTGGCATCACTGGACGGCTACATGCAAAAAAATAGGCTCAGAACTCTGCCTAACACCATGTACAAAAGTAAGATCAAAATGGATTAAAGACCTCAACATCAGACCAGAAACCATAAGGTACATTGAAGATAAAGTTGGCAAAACCCTCCATGACATTGAAGCTAATGGTACCTTCAAAGATGCCACGCCACTGGCCAAGCAAGTGAAAACAGAGATAGATAAATGGGACTATCTTAAACTAAGAAGCTTCTGCACCTCCAAAGAAACAGTGACCAAAATACAAAGACAGTCTACAGAATGGGAAAGGATATTCACCGAATACACATCTGACAAGGGGTTGATATCCAGGATATACAAAATACTGGTTAAACTCCACAAGAAGAAAACATCCAACCCCATCCAAAAATGGGGCAATGAAATGAACAGAAACTTTCTCAAAGAAGAAATCCGAATGGCAAAAAAGCACATGAGAAAATGCTCTACATCATTAATCATCAGGGAGATGCAGATCAAAACCACAATGAGATACCATCTCACACCTCAGAGACTGGCCCACATTCAAAAGAACAAAAGCAACCGATGCTGGCGTGGATGTGGCGAGAAAGGGACACTCCTTCACTGTTGGTGGGAATGTCCACTGGTTCAGCCCTTCTGGAAAACAGTATGGACGATTCTCAAAAAATTAGAAATTGAGCTCCCATTTGACCCAGCAATATCACTCCTGGGAATATATCCCAGAGAGGCAAAAATGTATAGTCGAAGTGACATCTGCACTTGTTTGTTCATTGCAGCCCTCTTTACAATAGCCAGAAACTGGAAGAAACCTGAATGCCCAAGAACAGATGACTGGTTAAAGAAACTTTGGTACATCTACACAATGGAGTACTATGTAGCTCTTAGAAAAGATGAAGTCATGAAATTTACATACAAGTGGTACAATATGGAAAGTATCATGCTAAGCGAAATGAGTCAGAAAGAGAGGGATAGACATAGAAAGATTGCATTCATCTGGGGGATATAAAGTAACAAAGTATGAGATTAATACCCAAGAATAGCTGAGATCAGCACCAGGAGGATTACTCCATAACTTAGAGGCCAGCCGGGTATCCTAGAGGAAAGGGCTATTCAGATAGAGAAGGGAGCACCAAATAAAGGATGTTTGGAGGATCCTCCCAGGAGGGGAGATGCATGTCGAAAGTAGACTATGGACTGAACATGTTTGCCACTCAATGCCTCTTTTGCAGACCACAACACCCAAAAGGAGAGAGAGAACACAGGGGATTGCCCTGCCACAGAGATGGGGGGATGGGGGGATGGGGGTGGGAGGGATATTATCCATGGTGGTGGAAAATGGGCACTGGTGGAGGGATGGGTATCTGATCATTGTATAATTGAAACCAAAGCACAAAAAATTGTAAATCTACAACTTTAAAAAAAATAAAATAAAATAAAGGGGAAAAAAAAATAAAAAAAATAAAATAAAATAAAAAAAAAAATTTGTAAATCTACAACTGTACCTCATGGTGTTTCACTAATAAAAAAAAAATCAGGGTGTACAAACTCAATACTTCAGGATCCTCTGTGAGCTCTATTACAGATTCACTACCAAGATCTCACCATTCTACAAAGAAGTAAACATCCAGTCAAGAGAGGGATTCAGCAGGGTGATACCATTTCACCAAAACTCTTCAGTGCCACCCTCGAGAACATCATGTGACCACTGGAATGGGAAGAAATGGGAGTGAAGATAGATGGTCGGCAACTACACCACCTCCGCTTTGCTGATGACATTGTTCTAATATCACCAAACATCAGCCAAGCAGCACAAATGCTGACCAACTTCGACCGTGAGTGTGAAAAGGTCGGACTACAGCTGAATCTTACGAAGACAATGTTTATGTGAAACAGCCTCGTTCCTGACATTCCATTCGCTCAACAGAATCACCATCTCCAAATGTAACAGTTATACCTAGGTCGGGAAATCAACATGGTGAATGACCTGGCACCTGAGTTACACAGGAGGAAGAGAGCGGGTTGGAATGCCTTCAAGAGCATTGAAGAAATAAGTAAGAGGACAAAGAACCTCCAGCTACAAGCACATCTCCTCGATTCCACTGCTCTTCCTGCATTAACATATGCCTCAGAGACCTGTGCCCTACGAAAACAGGATGAGAATGCTATTTGGGTCTCTCAAAGAGGAATCGAAAGAGCTATGCTTGGAATATCACGATTCACTCAAATGAGAGATAGAATCCAGAGTTCTGATCTCCATCAATGCTCAAGAATCAGGGACGCTCTCTCATTTGCCAAGGCATCAAAATTCAGATGGGCTGGACATGTAATGAGGTTTACACACAACCGCTAGACTAGAGCCATTACTGACTGGATTCCACGGGACATCAAAAGATCGCGTGGACGCCCACCTACAAGATGGTCAGACTGCTTCGTCAAGACCCTGAATGATCGCTTTGAGGCTCTGCATGTTCCTAGAATGAACAGATGCCACTGGGCTACGCTAGCACGCAACAGGGATGAATGGAGACGTTACTGACACCCGCTTGCGTAAATCGATGAATAACGGGGGATCAAGTGATCAAGATAATTGAGGGGAAAATAAAAAGAATATTATATGATAGGTAAAAACTTGTTAAAATTCAAATTTTCAGATTCATAAGCAATGTATTTTAGAACATAGTCATATTCCTTCATCTTTTGTGCTTCTGTGTTTGTTTCTGCTGTTATTCATTTTATAGGCACATTTATGCTTCAGAATATAAATCAGGTGTTGTAACAAGGACCAACTAATTCATAAATTGTAAAGTACTAAATGATTCTTCTAGAAAAGGATTGTCATGCCTCTTTCCAAAAAACTACAGAAACTTAAAGATGTATTATTTTTACAAAACATATTTAAATTCAAATGCATTAAAATGACTCACTCCATCAATATTCACTAGTCATGGATGTAAAACAAAATGGAAGTACATGATTGAGTTAATTATTCATTGAAACTCCCAGAAAAGAATTTTTGTTGAAACTATGCTTAAAATATTATCAAAGATACTCAGTTTGTTTGCTAACTTTATAAAAATAACCACCTGCACATTTTGGCAGTACTGCTGTTTAAGATGAAACCATCAAAACGTAGTAGCATGAATTAATTGTTTTTAAAATGAAAATGTAATGTGGAAAGAATTTCTTTATTCAATATGAAAGCTTATTTTCCTTTGGTAAAAATTTTGAACAAAATCATTCTAAACCCTACTCAAACTATTTTCATATGTTATTAGTTCAGAAGTTAACAAAGAGCACATTTTTGCATTGGTGGTGTTTGGGGGCTTCTTCTTACATGGAGCCAGGAATCCTGGCTGTGTTCAGGAACAACACAATATACCAGGGGCCAAACCCAGTTTTTTTTCATGATTTTATTATTTTTGGATCACACCCAGCAATGCACAGGGGTTACTCCTGGCTCTGCACTGAGGAATTACTCCTGGAGATGTGTGGGGGACCATATGGGATGCTGCGAATCAAATCTGGGTCAGCCACATGCAAGGCAAGAGTCCCACCAGCCCCCAAACTCAGGTTTAACACATGCTGATCACAAGCTCCAGCCTCTGGAGCTCTTTATCCAATCCAGTAAAATATAAAATTCCATTTTAATTAATATAAGGAGAATTTAGATCACATAAATAACGCTAGTTTGTGTTTTATTGATTTGAGGGATGAGAACAATTTGCGGAAAATGGAACATAAATCTATATTGAAACAGAAATTAGAGAGCTTAAGATGTGATGAGTAGCATATATTATTGGTTTCTTAACCAGTATACTTTATACCTGAAAGGAAATTTCAGAAGAATTATGTAGGAAGGACTCTAGATGCTTCAAAAGGTAAGGCCAGTAGCTCTCCATGGAAAATCCACATATCATAAAATTATACAGCGTAAAAAAGCAAACTTACTCTAAATTTGAGGAAATGACTTCATCTGGTGTAGTTTCGTCTTCTGATTGATCACTTAGAAGATCACAGGTTTGAATAGATGAAGTATCTGCAACCTCTAAAACAGGAGCTATGCTGGGTCTTCTGGCTTCTTTGCTTCCTTCTGCAGGAAGAGACAGGGTGGGGCCACTGGTCGACCTACAGCTTGTGTCTTGCAAGTCTATAGCCACGGTCCCTAGAAGGAAGAAACATGAACATGTATTAAAGATTTCTGCTAAAACATGGCATATGAATTGCTTACTATTCAAACTGAACTGTGACATAATCATAGTAACAAGGAAATACATTTATAGTTTATCCTTTCATCCCAATAGTTACTGAGTTCTTTTTTATGTGGGGATTTCTGTTCTCCATCCAGGCTGAAAAACTGTAAAATTATAAAATAGTAAATTTGCTGAGTTTAGCTCAAGAGCAAAAAAAAAAAAACCCAACAAAAAAAATTTGTACAATCCTGAAAAATTATTTAAGAATTCAAGGGTAAATAAATCATGTTACCGTATTAAAATTTAGTTTACACTTGTTAAAAATTAGCAAAACCATTTTGGCGACTTCAACTTTCATTTTATTTTTGTTTGGCGCCCACACTCAGTGGTATTCGGGGCTTTCTCCCTGCTCTGTCCTCAGAGTTCAGTCCTGGAGTTGCTTGGGGACCATATGGGATGTGGGGGATTGAACCTATGTTGGGCACATGAAGGCACAAACTCTACCTGCTGTGCTGTCACTCTGATCCCCTGGACAATTCACTTTTGTGGATTTCTCATTTTATCATTCACTCTATTCGTTCACCATTTTATTGAATTTGTTTTCATTTACTGATTTATGACCACTTTTTATATTCAACAAACATTTGTCGAGTAACTACTGTAAGACACAAACTATTCTGGACAGAATATGCAGACAACCAATCAAACTTGACAAACATATGAACTTTAATCAAGGCCTCCTTTTTTCATTTTGGTTTCACAGCAGGCAATGCTTGAGGACTCCTCCCACCATGCTCAAAGCTGAGAAATTCCTCCTGGCAGTGCTTAGAGGATCATTTGACACAAGGTAACCTGGCCTTGCATCATGCAAGGCATATGTACTATCACTCTGTACTAATTCCTCAGGCCCCAAACCCACGTTTTTATATCATAATGCCACAGAGAAAAAAAATCTAGAAACGTAATGTATGATAAAGGGTTGCTGATTAAAGGGAGTAAGGACTTTTACACTAGACAGAAGGAATGGTCACTGTGAAGTATGACATTTTTGTATTAGAAAGATAGTCAGGAACATACTAACTATAGGAAGAACAGCAAGTACAGAGAGCTTTAGGTTTATGCATAAATGAACTTTTAAAAACATTAAACAGGACCCAAGAGATAGCACAGTGAGTATGACACTTGCTTTAGATGGGGCCATCCTGGGTTCAATTTCTAACTCAAAGGATCCCCTAAGCCTCAAAGGGAGTGATCCCTGAGCTCATAACCAGAAGTAAGCCCTGAGCACCTCTGGGTGTGCCATCAAAATAAACAAAACAAGACAAAAACATTAAACAAATCCCATTGGGTTTTTTGTTGTTGTTGTTGAGGGAAGAGGATTTCTCAAGCAGTGCTCAGGGGATGCTGGGAATCTACACCTGGCAATACTTGCCCATCTAAGTTGCATCACTGAGTGAGAGACTTGAGGATGCGGGGCTGCTGGGGTCCTGCAAGCTGTGGACCTCCAACCACCAGATGATTCTGGAGAAACACCAGGGCTACCTGGCTTTGTGAAGCCACCATGGACACAATCATCATGAAGTGGGTCTATGTGTTGCTAGGGATTGAACTGGGAGAGGGCATATGTCACCTGCTGCACCGTCCTTTTGTATTTGTCATTGGAATTTAAGAATAAGACATTGCTTTCAGGAAAGCTGATGTCTTTCCTATCTGTATAAATAAAGCAATCTAACAGATGAATGCTATCATAGATCATGATGACTCATTTTACTTATGAACTCAATGTCTGGACATTCTGCTGAAAGTCTTTAAGTCTTCTGTCATATTCTTTGAAAGAACTATTAAAACTGTATTTCCTTTTTTTTCTTTTTGGGTCATACCTGGCATTTCACAGGGGTTACTCCTGGCTCATGAACTCAGGAATTACCCCTGGTGGTGCTCAGGGGACCACAATGGATGCTGGGAATCGAACCTAGGTTGGCCGCGTGCAAGGCAAATGCTCTACCTGCTGTGCTATTGCTCCAGCCCCCAAACCATAATTCCTTTAATGTTCCTCTTACCTCACTTGTTTCTTGAGTGTAACGGTACCAGTTTTTACAGGGGGAAATGCATCGGTTTTGAGGGTGACAGAGACAAGACTGGAGAGAGTACCAAAGTAAATAAAAAACTGGTACTGACTTTGGAGTATAGATGCATTACACTCAATAGATACACTGTTGCTTGGATCAGAGGAAGAATCTGAAAGTAGTGAGTAGGGGGAGTCTTCAATGAGGGGTATATACTTAAGTATGTTGTGACTAAGAAAAACCTGCTCTAATAGTCTGAAAAGATATATGCACAGCAATGTTTACTGCAGAACTTAGTCCAATAAAAATGACATGTAAATTGCCCGGATGTCCAATGATAGGGAAAGAGATAAAGAAGATATATATATATATAATATATGTGTGTATATATACATATATGTGTATATATCTTCTATATATCTTCTCTATGTATATATAAGATACACATACTGTATATATATACACAATATATGTATACTGTATATATAAGATATGGGCTGGAGTGATAACAGTGGGAAGGGCGTTTGCCTTGCATGCAGCTGACCCGGGTTCAATTCCTTCATCCCTCTGAAGAGCCCAGCAAGCTACCGAGAGTATCCTGCCTGCATGGCAGAGCCTGGCAAGCTCCCTGTGGTGTATTCGATATGCCAAAAACAGTAACAACTCTCATAATGGAGACATTACTGGTGCCTGCTCGAGAAAGTTGATGAACAATGGGAGGATAGTGCTATAGTGCTATTGTGCTTGATATAAGATATATACAGTATGTATATATCTTATAGTATGTATATATCTTATATATAAGATAAATATACATAGTGTGTATAGGCTTTTGTTTATGTATTGAACAAATATATCTTTGTATATTATTATCATATAAATAAAACATAAATATCAAACAATTCCAGGTACTTCAGCACAGACTCAGTATGTGTACATTGTCTAGTATCATTATTTAGGGGATCTTCTTGACTCTCAGTTTAGGAGAGAAATTTCACTGTCATTTTACTAAAAGGATAGTGGTGTTTTCTGTTTTTAGTTAAATAAAATGTAGGAGGCAATAGTTTAGACTGAGGGTGGAAATATTAGTTCATCCTGTATTTTTTACCTGTAATATTTGCAAATAGAAAAAAAACAGTGGACAACTGAATATATCATTGGAAGAAAACTTTAAGTTGTTTCATAAGCTGGAGACTTATCAGTTCATGAGAACAATTAAACCTGTCGGAGCAGATCTGAGTACTCAAGGAAAATGAATGTGTCTGATGCAGAGAAAAGCACTGGGTGTTTTAAGAACAATACAATCAATATTCTCTTCCAGCGAAGATGTCAACTAGATTTAGTGACAAACTGGTGGCCTTGCTAGAGTAGATTTAGTGATGTAATGGTAGCATATGTCAGACTGAATTAAGCTGAGATTTGAAGAAACAATTAGATATCAAGCTCATCACCAAAAACAATCTTTCAAGGAATTTATTTGCAGAGATATCATGGCAAGGGGTCTAGAGTGTCTTTGTGCATATGTGTGCATGGAGAGAAAGAAAGAGGGATAGAGGAATAAAGGGACAAGTGGAGGAATGTGTCAGTGAATTAGGGAACAACTGAGACAGATAATAAAGAGGAATTAATGAGACCTCAGAAGGAAAAAACAACGGTTTCCTTGCATAAGTGAAAGCATTAAAATCGGGAGATTTTCTTTGTTACAGAAACTACAATGTTTGTAGACGTGGGAGAAAAATTTTAAGCAAATTCTATCCTTGTCTCAATAAATACATGTAGCTTGCATGTCATAATTTCAAAGGTGAAAATTAGGTGGAAAAAAGATGGAGCTTTTTGAGGAAACAATGAAGAAGGAGGAGGAGATAGTGCAGTGCACAAGCATTTGCCTTGCATGGGGCCAACTGGGATTTGACCACCAGACCTCCATAGTCTCCGGAGTACACCAGGAGTAATCCCTGAGTTCAGAGCCAGGAGTAAGTCCTGAGTATGGTTCAGTGTGGCAAAAGGAAGGAAGAAAGGAAGGAAGGAAGGAAGGAAGGAAGGAAGGAAGGAAGGAAGGAAGGAAGGAAGGAGAAATAAGGAAAAAAGCAATGAATTATCAAAAATAGTCTCTTGTTGATACTAAAGAACTTACAAATGAAACGAGGAAGTATTAGACAACTATATGGAAGCTTTGAATTACCAAATGTCTATGAACTTAACAATTCATAAAATGTATGAGTATACTTAGAGAAACCAGGTTTGTAATATACAGAGGTATTTTTGTTTGCCATTGCTGACTCTGCAACACTACAATCTTTGTTGATCATCACTTGACATAGTCACCAAGCAAATCATTTCTTTCCTTAGCACATTCTCAGAAAAGCCTTCTTTCCACAGGACTGTCTTAATTATCACAAGTATCTTTTGCCTTCAGAATTATTTATGCAGATTCTTTACATTGTGGATCTCTTTACAGCAACTTTGACAGAATAATTTTCTTAAAAAATTTGCACTGTAGCTTAGGTAACATGCTAAAATAGCATTGATATTTATGGCTGTGAAGGAGAGTTATCACATCCTCACCACAACTAAAGTGTCCCTAAGCCTCCATTACCAGCTATAGAACAGCGGTAGGGCATTTGCCTTGTGTGCACCAGCCTGGCTGAGCGGGGTTCGATTCCTCCGCCCCTCTCGGAGGGCCCAGCAAGCTACCGAGAGTATCTCGCCTCCGTGGCAGAGCCTGGCCTCTGGCAAGCTACCTTTGGCAAGCTACCTGTGACATATTTAATATGCCAAACACAGTAACAACAAGCCAATGCCAAACACAGTAATAACAAGTCTCAAAATGGCAACGTTACTGGGCCTGCTAGAGCAAATCAATGAACGGGAGGACATGTTACTTTCAGTCCACATTCACGTCTCTTCCCTCCCCACCATAACCTCCAGTGACAGCTTGGGATGCTGTTTAATAATTGGATTTGTTGCCATTTTGTACTGGCTATCCACCCCCCCACACACACACTTTTTTTTTCTAAACACAACAAATGTTCATGTGAGACCACCTCATATTTGTCCTCCTTCCTCTGACTTAGCCCCTAAAGTAATACCTTCCACTTCCATCTAAACCTCAGCGAACTGCAAGCTTTTATCTTTTCTTCTGTGTAGTAATCCATCAACTCTGGTACTGAAAAAAAAAATTGAATTTGAGAGCTGGAGCAGTAGTAAAATGGGTAGGGCACGTGCACTCAACCGATCTGGGTTCAGTCCCCGGCAACCCCTATGGTGCACAGAGTTCTCAGCCCCAGGAGTGATCCCTGAACAGAGAGCCAGAATTGATCTCTAAGCACAGCTGGGAAAACCCAAACAGAGCAAAATAAAAATAAATAAAACTGAATTTGAAATCTTGATGAAAGTTGAAGCATATTTACTATATATTTTTAGAAAGGAACTAATGGCATTTTGAAATTAATTTCTACTTACCCATGCTGGCAATTATACTATGCACAGGTAATCTAGAAGGTCCATGATAAAATGACCTTGACATGTTGCTTTTCTTCTGTTGGTCTTGGTTTTTAAATGCTGAATTCTCTTCTTTGGTAATATTAATATAAAAACACGTATCTGAAGCGTTCATAATATAACGAGGACCTGGATTCAGTAAAATGTTTTTATTATCCTCCCTCCTTACACCAATCAGGCAGACACCAAACCTTAATTAAAAAAAAAGAAAAGAAAAGAGTTTAAGAGTTGTAAGTCAGCAAACAAGTGATTTCTTTTGTTTGTTTGCATATGTAACAAAATTAGTAAATACTTATAAGATTAAAGTCAAACAAAAATTCCCAATCAGTACATTTTCAAATCTGAAAATATCCTAAGTGTATATTTTATAGAAAAATTGTCTTGATTTCCCTGGAAAATAAAGTTGACTAAGTTATATCTATCAATAGAGATTTTTATCAAACAATGAAGAACAAAATAAAATAGAATTTATCAGGAAACATACCAAGTAGTAAAAGAAATAGTTGTTTTTATAAACTTGCCATAAATTTATCTTATTTTGCTCAAAAATTCATGAAAATATTCTATTTTAGTTCAAAGAGAGGTTTATATTTAATTACCTAAAGGAGATGGAAAATCTTAGCTATATTCCTAAAATCCCTTCTTGCTTTGTTTTTCCATATATGTTTTCACTAAATTTTAGGAAAAAAATTTAGTAAAATATTTGTAAAACTTTAACATAAATAATAATCCTTGAATGTAGGTAGTAAAGTAAAGTAAAGGCCCTCCCGTTGATCATCGATTTGCTCAAGTGGGCCCAGTAACGTCTCCATTGGAGACTTTGTTGTTACTGTGTCTGGCATATCGAATACTCTCGGTAGCTTGCCGGGCTCTCTGGGAGGGGTGGAGGAATCGAACTTGGGTCGGTCATGTTGGCTGCGTGCAATAAATATCTTACATATTATATTAGTGAAGTATGTTAAATACATAGACTAAAATATACCTCATTAATGAATTAATACTGATGACATTATTTTAATGCTATTTTAAAAAAATGAAACAAAATATATTTCATGTTTGAATTAGAAAGCATATCATTTTAAACTTATATTTCTATGGTCAAAAAAGTGGTTTTCTAGATGCCTAGATTTTATATATCTTATTATTTTATATATCTTATTATGACTTTGTTTAAATACCTGAGGGGCTACTCCCAGTCATGCTTGGGCTTGGCAGTACTAGGGAAAACCAGAGTTATCCCAGGTTGTGGTTGGGAGCTATGAGGTAGCAGAGAAAGAATTCAGAAACTAAATATGCAAGGCATATTTCTCTTTAAGTGATATTAAATAATATGTAGTAAACACACAGGAGGGAGGTCTGGGTTCAGTTCCTGACACCACTAGTCTCTTGACACCACTAGTCTCTTGAGTATCACTGGATGTTACCTCTAAGCAATGAGCCGTAGGTAGCCCCAAAGCACTTTTGTGAGCCACTGTCACTGTCACTGTCCTCCTGTTGTTCATCGATTTGCTCGAGCGGGCCCAGTAATGTCTCCATTGGAGACTTTGTTGTTACTGTGTTTGGCATATCAAATACATCATGGGTAGCTTGCCAGGCTCTGCTGTGTGGGCGAAATACTCTCGGTAGCTTGCCGGGCTCTCCAAGAGGGGAGGAGGAATTGAACTCGGGTCGGCCATGTTGGCTGCATGCAAGGCAAACGCCCTACCACTGTGCTATCGCTCCAGCCCTTTGTGAGTCAAAAACAAAAAATAAAAAGAGAGGGGTCAGAGACATATTACAGCACATAGACATTTGCCTTGCATGTGCCTGACCCAATTGATTGCTGGCACAAAAAATCCCTCCAAACCCACCAGAAGTGATCCCTGAGAACAGAACCAGGAGTAAGCCCTGAGCACTAATGGGTTTGACCCTTCCTTCAAAAAACAAACCAAAGCGGGAAAAAAAGGAACATGTTTATTAACTTTTATGTACAATTTTACCATATGATATCCCCACCAAAGAGCCAATCTCATTCCACCATAGTGCAAGAGACAACTTATCACTTCCCTACCTTGGTAAGCTCAATTTTGTGATCAGACTCTGAGGGTTTGTTATCATTAGACATGATGTGTTTGTTTCATTATATATGACATCTGTATGAGACGATTCAGTAACTGTCTTTGAAAGTGGTATTTAAATGCTATGAGTGATTTACCATTTATCTTTTATTATTTGGCAGTAGCCTAGGGACTCCCCATTGGGGGTGTTCATCAGGCCATGCAGTGCCAGATTATGTGCTTGGGCACTTTCAGCTCTCTTCCCAAGCCCAATTGATATTTTAATCCCACACTGGAAGTAGAAACATACTTTTTGTGCGCATGGAAAGAGGCATATGTAAAACTTTTCCCTTCATATTCAGCAAAAAATGTACTTTCTTCCAAAACAATGTGGTATACTTCATTCCCAGAGCATCTACCATATGTCTTCTGCCATTGTTCTGGTGACTGTTGGCCTTCTCTGCAACAAACGCACACACACATACACACAGAGACAGAAAAAAGCACAATGAATGTGGTTAATTAAACAGTCATCACATAAGATCTGGAATCTCCCAATTACAAGAATTGGCAAACACAGTATTAAGCAAGTTATCTGTGTTGTAAGCAATGGCATAATTTGAAATCCTTACAATGTGAGATTACAAAGTTTTAAAACTAATGCAATTTGTGAGCTTGAGAAATGTTAGATTACTAGAGAGTGGGAGTTTTCCACTAACTAATTAATGAAAGCATTTATGCTGACCATTAAAAAATGAGTTATAGCACTTGATTTTTAGCTTTTGTTTGTACATTATTTGTAATACATGTTCCAATGTATAATGTTTGCTTAAATACCTCAGTAACAGAATTCACTTCATTTCAGTTATGATGCTTGTTTGACCTCTGTAGACAGTTAATTGTCTTATATTTGTAATTATAAATATATAGATTTCAGTCTACCAATTTTATGCCATTAAAAATTTACTCTTAATTGCAACTCATATCTTTGTAATGGATTTCTTCCATTTGTAAAGAAATTTTATTTTATTAAAATTTTTTTTGAATTAAATTGGATTTTATTTGGAGGATTTTGATGAGGAGAATAGAGAGAAAGTAGGAGAGAGTGGAGAGTAATGCTCTCCAGAGGGAAAGCGGCCTTCCCCAAAGGTGGAGAGGTCCCCTACACATACCCTAGCATTAGATAAGGAAGCATGAAAGCACACACCTCCAGAAGGGAGATCTGGGTGACACATGTGCTTGGGCCACATGGGTACAAGCAGTACATGGGCTCAGGCAGCAATGCCTCTCTGCCCATAAAAGAGAAAAAATTAAAATCATAATTTGACATAAAAATAGGGGTGTCCAAAAGGATCCCAATGTATTTAAGAAAATTGATCAGAGAAAGTGCAGTTACTTTTGCTCTGGAATGTACTGCTAAATGGTCTTGGAAATACATATAAAATTCAACTATGAAGGATTTACTAGAGTCAATAGTTTTTATTTTCCTATTGTGTGCAATAGATTTCATTTAATCTTGCTGAATAAGACCTATGTACACTACAAACACAATAAATGCACCTTCTGTGAGGATTTGGAAAGCTATATAGACATGAAAATATTTCATTAGTGATGCTGTAGATTCTTAATAGAAAAAAACTAGTTGAGTCCTATTTGACACATTCAAATTAAAAAAGAACAAAAACATTTTAGATGCTGTAGAGAGAGTGCAGGAGTTAAAACATTTGCCTTGTATAACAGCTGATCTGGTGTGAGACTCCTGCTGCTGCCTTGGTCTGCTAAGCACTGCCAGGAGTAAACCCTGAGCTGCTCATGTCTTGCATTCCCTCCCCTCCTCCCTAAGTACATTAAAAAAAAAAAACATTTAGAACTCATTATGAAGTTATTGGGACATAATTATATTACAATATTTTCAAGGTGTTAGAAAAATCAGGCATATTTCATGTTTCATTTGCAATTCGTTGAATTTTTTTTCTAAATAGTCTTCAAAATTAAGGACCTGGGACTTAGTTTCTATTGGCCTGATTTAGATCCTAAACCTGCAATCTTGGCTAAGTGATTTGTCCCTGTTTCTTTGAAAAACAGTACCAGTCTTGTTGGCTTGAATAAAATGAGGTAATCCAAATAAATTACTTAGCAGATGTTTGGATCATAGTAATGATTCAGAAATTATTAGTTCTTATATTGTGCTTTGCTAGTTTATCTTCTGCTGCTAAACTCCTGAGCCACCTTCAGCCTGCATAGTCAACTACTAAAGAATAATGGTCTTGAAACTTTCACCTTTTCTTCATAAAATTAGAATATTCTTGAAAATAATAAAGTAAAATAGTAAAACAAAACATGAACTCAATTGAGTTTGACTATGCCTAACTCATGTTTCCAAAGAATGACTATTGCTAGTGGAGAAAACTTTCCCCTTGGCAAACAAAAATAAAATTAGCTTTGTTATGTTTTCTTACTGCTATCTTGTAAGATAGTACTTGACAAAACCCCTTGAAGGGTTGGAAGAATAAAAGGAAATGCTGGTCATTTATCAGAATTAGTTTGGAAATGAGAAAACCAGCATGAGGTCAAATGCTTATCACATAGGGTACTAAAAGTTATTCAAGAGAATAATGAATCTAATTTCAGAGGCTGAAATGGCATTGCATTGTGGTAGCCAAAAAGGACACAGAAGAGAAAGAGGTCAGACAAGGACAGTCAAAATGAGTTTTCTTAAATGACTCGCTTGTCTTCAGAGTGTTTTATATTGGTAACCTTCACCCCAGGGAATAACTATGATTTCTTCTAACACCTTTAATAGTTAATAAAAATCTCTCATTTTAGCTAATTATAAAATGCACAAATATTTTTCCTCAGCTCATGTCAATTGCTTTACACATGTTTGAAATTAGCAACACTATTTAATAGTAATGAGTATGTCCACTTATTCATTCCTGCATGAAATATTTAGTAAGTACCTGATGAGTGTCAGGAAAAGTTCTAAATTCATAGTTTATGATTACAAGGAATATAAGAGTAACTATTCTCCCATTTATTATTAAGCTATAGCAATCAAAGTGTAAAAATAGACACACAGATCAATAGAACACATCAAAGAGTATAGAAATAGACCCAGACATATAAGGCAAGTTCGCTTATAACGATAAACAAGAATATTCAGTAGGGAAAAGGAAATCTTGAAAATAAGTGATGAAGGGAATACTGGACACAATGTGTAAAGAATAAAACTATAACACTATGGTAAGCTATCTTACATCATGCATAAAATAAGTTCAAACTGGATTATAATTTGAATGTAAGACCTGAAACCATAAACTTACTGGAGAAAATAGAGGCAGTGTCTCAAGAGTAGTCTGAATAATGCTAGTTTGGATTGTCAGCAAAACAAAGGCAACAAAAACAAAAACAGGGAAATGGGATTGTATCAAACCAAAAAGTTTCTGCACAGCAAAGAATGCCATGACAAAAACTGAAGAGAGACAACTGAACAGAAAACAAAAATTCAAGCAATCCATTTTTTAAAAATTTTTATTAGTGAGACATCATGAGGTACAGTTGCAGACTTACAAATTTTTGTGCTTGGGTTTCAATTATACAATGATCAAATACCCATGCCTCCACCAGTGCCCATTTCGCACCACCACGGATCCCAGTATCCCTCCCACCCCCCATCCCCCGCCATCCTACACTGCCTCTGTGGCAGGGCATTCCATTTTGTTCTCTCTCTTATTCGGTGTTGTGGTTTGCAAAAGAGGCAATAGGTGACAATCATGTTTGGTCTATAGTCTATTTTCAGCATGCTTCTTCCATCCTGGGTGGATCCTACAAACACCTTTATTTGGTGTTCCCTTCTCTATCTGAGCTCCCTTTTCCCCTAGCATGTGTGGATGGCCTCCAAGCCATGGAGTAAAATTCCTGGTACTAATCTCTGCCATTCTTGGGTGTTAGTCTCCTATTTTGTTACTTTATTATCACACCAAGCTCCTGGAAGAGAACAAGGTTGAGTCTCCTACACTGTGACTGACTGTCCTCACCAGAGTCCAAAGGCTGAAGACCTTCGGGCCCCAGCCAAGGTCATGCTGGGACCACTCTCCACACACTTGGATGAGTCTCACGCATAAAAGAACTGGCAGAGGAACCCAGGTGTGTGGGACCCGGAGCTGAGATCTCCAAGCCTGCACGGTTTGGGACTGTACCTGCAAGTAGCTAGACAGTTACACCCACCAACTGCCGTGTAACCCCAACAATGGCCAGGATTCAGAGATTATCACACCAAGCTCCTGGAAGCTTTTTATTTACATTCATTTAATTTTTCAGGGTACCTTAAATATCCCACCCACATGGCACAGCCTGGCAAGCTATCCGTGGTCTATTTGATATGCCAAATCTAGTACAAAAAAGGGATCTCATTCCCCTGACCCTGCATACGGCACAGTCAAGAAGGATGTGGAAGGAGAGGCTGATAAAATCCCAAGGCAGAAATAGGCTGTCAAAACGAAGAAAGACAAAAATGATTGTCTGTACTTTTAATGCATGTTCACTGGCATCTGATGCATACATCAAGGACCTGATGGTACAAGCGCGAAGGATCAAGAACAACATCATTGATCTGACCAAAACGAGAAGCCATCAATCACATCACGCTGTTTTCGACACTGGAAAAGAACTGTTCCTTGGAACTTGTGACAAAAGAGGCATCGGTGGTGTCGGTATCCTTGTCAACATGAACATAGCCATGAGCATTGATTCATTCGAATGCCTAACAACCCGAATCGGACGATTACACTTGAATAGATGTGGCTCACTGCTGGGAGTTTCTATCTTTGTTGTCTATGCACCAACATCCAAATATGGTGAAAGAGAAACTGAGAAGTTCTACATGGAGCTGGAGAAGTTCTATAAAGATCACACCTACAAAATCATTGTCGGTGATTTTATTGCCAAGATAGAACCAAGAAGATCAGACGATGAACTCCACATCGGGACCCATGGCCTAGAATGGAACGAACAGGGTGACAGACTGTCTGAGTTCATCATGTCAACCAAGACCTTCCATGGTAACTCACAGTTCCAAAAGGCTGAATCTAAACATTGGACATGGGAGTCTCCCAGTGGACGTTTCCACAATGAAATGGACCACATCATATTCAATCCGTGGTTTTGCTTAACTGATGTTGCTGTTGTCCCAAAAAATTCCAAACGGGATCAGACCACTGTCTCCTTTGTGCAAAATTCTACCTGACAGAACACGGAGAAAAGAATGCAAAATTCAAGAAGAGAACTCCCAGAATGACCAGCAACTGGGAGCTCTTTGGCTCTGTTGTGGCAACATGGGAAGATGCCGTCATTGACAACATTGATGAGGAATATGATCGAATGACTCAGCACCTCCATGATTGTGCAAGGAATGCCAAGAGAGAAATAACCACAAAAAAGGCCTTTCTTCGAACACTGTTG